AAAAAAAAAGATCATGGCAAAAGAAAAATGAAATCGGTGATTTCTTACCTTTTATTTCAGTAGCTGCTGTGCCATTTGACCATGCTGTCCACTTATTCCTGTGCTTTCCAATTTCCTGCACTTTGCATATGTAATGTCCTTGATCTGTTGGCTGAAGGCTTAAAATAAGAAATTTGTACATTGTTCCATGTTTTTCTTTAAGAAGGCGAAGTCTTTGCTTGTGAAAATGGTGAGTGTAATTTCCATAATACTGGACGGACCCAAATTTAGTCATTTTAATCATCAGGTACTCCTGGGTAGGTGATACAGCGAAGACCCACCGCACAGCCAGCAAATTGTCTGTCTTTCTCTTCTGAGAAATGTGGCAGTAAAGGGTAGCATTGTCTCCTTCAGCGTATCGCACTGTTGGTCCTGGCGAGACAGTCACATTTAAAGCCTCACAGATATCTGCAAAGGAGAGAACAGGCATCGTGAGACTCCTCCATGCCACCACAAAGGCACCGTAATCTGTCCCAGCATGTAAATCCATGCAGATATACTGGACTATACTATAACATCATTATGTTGTGTGAAGGGTATGGACTGTGGTAGGCCCTTCTTCAGTGAGTCTGCTCTGCTATCCTTTCTCTCTATATTTAATAAGATAGGAGTGAAATGAACATGTTCCTCCTGTCATAGACCCAACATCCCATAATCTTTTCTCAGTCTGAATAAGCTTTATCTACCACTAGCTTGGAGTAACAGAGCACCTGCTTCCTGACTCCATGTAGAAAGAAATCATCTGGTCTCACAGCCTTCATTTTCCTGAGTTAAAGACGCCAAACTCTGAGTCTCCTGTAGAATATTAGACTCTCTGCTTCCCCACTCTTCATAGGTCTTTTCTGCATTGGTTCCAGTTTGAGTTTTGTTTGTTTATTCTAATGTGTGTGGCAGGAATTAAAGACAGAAAGAAGCTCAGTGTCTTGTGTAAAGGACATGATACTTCCTAGATTTGCCTAGAAATCTTTGCCTGATATATCCTAGATTTCTGTTGTGCTTTTAATATTTTTTTCATATAGGATAGTATGTCAGTTTATAATAATATACTTGGGTGTTTTTACTTCTTTGTCATTTGTGGTTCAGTTCCTGATTTATTGAAGAAATTCTTACTAATCCCCCAAGTGTATGACTTAGCCTTACTAAGTTCCACTCTACTT